CAGGTGTTCCTTGCCCTCATTCCGGTAAACCCACAACCTTCCAGCGTGGGTGTTATGGCCATCATGAACATGCCACAGTGCTGCAGAGATTTTGTTTATGGCCAGTTTTGGGGCCAAATTATGGCCAGATTTTGGGGAGCCTGTTCCCAACCATTGAACCTGCACTTGGGAGGTCCCAGGGCCTGTCCTGACACGGGGTCTTCTCACCTGCTGAGCTCCAGCCCCTGGAAAATGCTGTCCTCTGGGATGCAGGCGTCTTACTCCAAACCCTCCTATGATTGTGTGGGCTAAAGGGAGCAGGAGACAGAGAGCAGTAGAAAACCTGAGACAGAGAAAAGAAGAATAAGAAAGGCCCATAGCAGATGGAAAAATGGAGGATTGGTGAGGGATATGCTAAGAGATGGCAAAAGTGAAAACAACAACAGCAACAACAAAAATATAAGAAAACAGGAGGAGAAAAGCAACTGGAGAAATGTAAAGAAAAGCTAGATGTACAGAGAGATGAAGGACGTCAAGGTGGGGAAGTGGCAGCAAAGAGGGAGGCTCACAGAGTGAGGGAGAGAGGGATTTGGAGCCAGGGTAGACAGCAGAGTGGTACTTGTGTCAAGGAGAACAGAGGGAGAACCACAGCAGGGAGGACACCTGGGGATCTGGGGTGCCACAGAGTAGGGATGGGGGAGTATGTCAGGGAAGAGAAAATTTAACAGGGAGATCAGAGGAGGTGCAGAGATGAGAGAAGAGACAGAAATAGATGGAGATTGAGGATGACTGAAAGATTGGGGAGAAGGAGCAATAAGAGGTTAAATAAGTTGTGAGGATGGAGCAGAAGAGGTGGAAGAGAAGGAATAGAGGGAAGAAGGGGATAAACAGCAGAAGAGGAGAGGGGTACAAAATGAGGAGCAGAATCCCAGGGAAAAAGAAAAGAAAACAAGAGCTAGAGAGAGAAGGGGAGAATGAGAGATAGGTACAGAATTAGGGAGGGAAGCACAGTAACGAAGACAGAGGGGCTGGGCACAGTGGCTCACACCTGTCATCTCCTCACTTTAGGAGACTGAGGCAAGGGGATTGCTTGAGGAGTTCGAGACCACCTTGGGCAACATAGTGAGACCTCCATCTCTGCCAAAAAAAATAAGTAAATAACCGGGCCTAATGGTGTGCACCTGTACTCCCAGCTGCTCTGGAGACCGAACTGGGAGGATGACTTGAGCCCAGGATGTCCAGGCTGCGGTGAGTTGAGATCAGGCCACTACACTGCAGCCTCATCAACACAGCAAGACCTTGTCTTAAAAGAAAAATGGGGCAAGAGACCTTGGGTTTAGATGAGTGGGTGAGTTCTTTGGATATGATTAGTTGTGACATGTTGACTTCTGTGTATATAATCTAATAACCAAAAACTTGTTTAAATTATACAGATGAGATTGAGAATTTTAAAATTGGCATCTATAAGACATGAACATTCTATAAATCTTGGCATGAGAGGTTATGTTCCACTTGGAATCCCTATTCAGCCAGAGGGAAGTGACTTACTCAGTTGTGAATCACTGCCTTCCCTTTTCCTAGGAAGGGGTAGGACGTGGGGTAGTGAAGTGGGAAAAAGTCACTTTCTGTTATTACATAATACTTTAAATTTAACTAATTAATTAAATCATATTTTGAGACCGGGTCTGGCTGTTTCACCCAGGCTGTTGTGCAGTGGTGTGATCTCCTCTAACTGCAGCCTCAACCTCTGGGGCTCAAGCGATCCTCCCACCTCAGCCTTCTGAGTAGCTGGGACCAGAGGCATGAGTCACCTAGCCCGGCTAGTTTTTGTAACTTTTTTTGCAGAAACAAGTTTTTACTGTTTCCCAGGCTGGTCTCAAAATCCTGAGCTCAAAGGATCCTTCTGTTTTGGCCCCCCAAAGTACTGGGATTGCAGGGATGAGCCATTGCGCCTGTAATCCCAGCACTCGGTAGACCGAGGTGATCAGAACACCTAAAGTCAGGAGTTCAAGAGCACCCTGGCCAACATGGTGAAACCCCATCTCTCCTAAAAATACAAAAGTTAGCTGGCCGTGGTAGCATGCACCTGTAGTTCCAGCTACTTGGGAGGCTGAGGCATGAGAATCTCTTGAACCTGGGAGGTAGAGGTTGCAGTGAGCCAAAATCCTGTCACTGCACTGCAGCCTTGGTGACAGAGCGAGTCTCCATCTCAAAAAAACAAAAAATAAAGTAAAATAACCAAAGTGACATCAAAAGTGCTTTTGTTGTCGTTGTGCAATAGATTTTCTTTTTTTTTTTTTCTTTCCGGTTCCTCTTCTCTCTTTATTCTTTCCTTGTTTTTGCAGTTTTTGAGTTTGAGATAAATCTTAGCTTTAAAAATTTCTTTCTTAATACATAATCACTTTATTTATTTATTTATTTTGAGATGGAGTCTTTCTACTTCACCCAGGCTGGAGTGCACTGGTGTGATCTCGGCTTACTGCAATCTCCGTCTCCCTGGTTCAAGTGATTCTCCTGCCTCAGCCTCCTGAATAGCTGGGATTACAAGCAGCCTCCAACATGCCTGGCTAATTTTGTATTTAGTAGACACGAGATTTCACTGTAGGGTCCAGCCCTACGGGGCTTAGCAGGTGCTCTCCCCATGTGCAGAGGCGAGAGATTGTAAGAAATAAAGACACAAGACAAAGAGAAAAAGAGATAACATCTGGGACCGGGAAACCACTACCACCAAGACGTGGAGACCAGTAGTGGCCCCGAACAGCTGGGCGTGCTGATATTTACTGATACGAGACAAGGGGGCAGGGTAAGGAGGGTGAGTTGTCCAGGTGATTGATAAGGTGAAACAAGTTACGTGATCATAGGACAGGGGGCCCTTCCCTTATCGGTAGCCGAAGCAGAGAAAGCAGACAGCATACGTCAGCATTTTCTTCTATGAACTTATAAGAAAGATCAAAGACTTTAAGACTTTCACTATTTCTTCTACTACTGTCTACTACGAACTTCAAAGAGGAACCAGGAGTACCAGAGGAACATGAAAGTGGACAAGGAGCGTGACCATTGAAGCACCACAGGGAGGGGTTTAGGCCTCCGGATGACTGCGGGCAGGCCTGGATAATATCCAGTCTTCCACAAGAAGCTGGTGGAGCAGAGCGTTCCCTGACTCCTCCAAGGAAAGGAGACTCCCTTTCACGGTCTGCTCAGTAACAGGTGCCTTCCCAGACACTGGCGGTATCGCTTGACCAAGCAGCCCTCAAGCGGCCCTTATGTGGGCGTGATAGAAGGCTCACCTCTTGCCTTCTAGGTCACTTCTCACAATGTCCCTTCAGCACCTGACCCTATACCCACCGGTTATTCTTTGGTAATATGAGTAATACAACAAAGAGTAATATTAAAGCTAATGATTAATAATATTTATAATGATGATTGATACTTATCCATGATCATCTCTATATCTCAATTGTACTGTGAATATTCTTATTGTAACTATTTCCTTTATTATACTGACAGTTTGTGCCTTCAGTCTCTTGCTTTGGCACCTAGGTAGTCTTTCACCCACATCTCCCCACTTTGTATTGATTAGGATTGTCTTTGCCATCATTCCTTGTCGCTGACTTTGAGCTTTTCATCAGACTTCGTGGAGACACCTGCAGACTAAAAGCAAATGACATAAACACACCAGTATTAGTAATGTCAATAATAAAAGTGAAACTCCAATGGGTTTGACCTACTTGAAAGGGTTTAGATCAGATAGTCCCTTTGTAATTGTTTCAAATATGTCAGAACAAGGAACGGTAGTTAAGCGAGCCTGGGAAACCTCAAAAATCTGCTCCTTCTGTCTTGAAATGTCTAAGGTTAAAGTATCATCCCAGGCTTTTAGATGCCTTTGGACTTTTTCCCAACTATGTTGATCTTCTTTGTAAGCATAAGGTGTTATGCAAAAATTAGAAGTATTCCAATCGCATTGTAGTTGCATTCGGTGTTCTAAATTCATTATTCTATCTCCCAACCAGATGACACTCTGGCAGAGATCATTAATTTGATTGGCTAGTTTTTGATCATTCTGAGCCTGAGAATTCCAAAGCCTGGTGAAATTCTTTTGCCATGTTTCCACGTAATGAGTGGTCTGACAGAGTTAGGAATGGCTACTCCAGCAGTAGCTGCTGTTGTAGTAATAGCAGTTAAACCTGCAGTCACGGCAATGAGTGTAAAAATGGATCTCCTAGTTCTTTTAAGGATCTCTTTAAGGACTTCATTGACTATTTGAATAGAAGGAGAAGATTCCCAGGGGCGGTGTAAAGAAACTGGTATCCATACCCCTTTCCTGGCCCTGACCAGGAGAACATTTGTTTTTTTATCAAATGTAGCATCAATGCATGCAAACAATTTGCAACTATCGCGTTCAATAGTTTGACAATCGGGGTGATAATTATGTTTCCAGCTAATAACATATAGAGTGGTTTAACACAGCTCCTAATGGGTATCACCCTTTCAGACATTAAAATGATCTTATACCTGTTTGTTTTGGTATTTGTAAGAACTTTTTGATAAGCTACATTCCATAATCTGATTCCGGACATGGCTGCAGTCAACCTCCACAATTCAGGATGCTTCGGGGTAACTATAGCATGAATCATTTTTGGTCTAGGAGGAACGATTCCTGAGTCCATCCATTTGAATGGGTAAGGAGACACCCATTCCCTCAACCTGCAGGACTGCCATCCGTCTCGTACGTGATGTATCAAATAATTGAACTCAGAGCATTGGGTATTTTGGCCGGAGCAATCTCGCCAATATACCCTTTTGGGATCCAGTCAATGACAGTCCCTGTGACGGGACTCCATGACACTGCTGGTGTTGGGGCGTTGCAGTCACTCCATAGGATGTTTCCAATTATTAATGGTCCCTTTATAGTGTCTTTCAAAGAGTCTGGCAATCCTTGTGTTTTATTATGTTTTACTGTGACAGGAATTCTCTGTTCCTCAAATGAATTTATTTTAACGGTCAGAACCTGAAAATAATTACTACTGAAAACATTGTGCACCTGATAAGAATCATTACTGGAGGCTGGTACGGTTCACATGTATTGTGACACAAAGGTCAGACATAGCTTATTTGGAGATGCCCAAAGAAGGGTGAATCCAATTAATATCTCCAAGTGATTTTTGAAAGTCATTTAAAGTTTTTAAGAAGTCTCTCGTAAGCTGAACTTTTTGTGGTTTAATCACCTTGTCTTCCAACTGCATGCCCAAATATTGAAAAGGAGAGGAAGGCTGAATTTTTTTCTGGTGTAATAGAGACTGCCAGTTGAATTTTTTTCTGGGCTTCCGAAATGGCCTGTTGAATCACGGAAAAGCAGGAAGTCAAAACGGCATGCTTGGGGGCTGTGCAGAGGATATCATCCATAGAGTGAATGATGAGGAAACTGAAACATTGGGGAAGCTGATCCCTAACTGGTTGAAGCATGCGCACCACAAAATACTGACAAATAGTGGGACTATTAAGCATGCCCCGTGTTAGAACTTTCCCATGGAGTATGCAGCTGGAGTGACATTGTTGAGGGAAGGGACAGTAAAAGCAAATTTTTCAAAGTCCTGAGAGGCCAATGGAATGTTAAAAAAGCAATCTTTAAGATCTTTAAGATCTATGATAATTAGGGACCAATACTCAGGGAGCATAGAAGGGGAAGGGAAGCCAGGTTGTAATGTCCCCATGGGTTGAAGTACAGCATTAACTTCCCTGAGATCAGTGGCCTTTCTCCAATTTCCAGATTTCTTTTGGATAACAGACAGGTGAATTCTATGGAGGAAAAGATTCTTCAGTGTGTCACAATTCTAATTGTTCCAAGACTAAATTATGGAGAGCCTCCAGCTTACTTTTTGGGAGTAGCCACTGATCCACCCAAACCAGTTTCTGAGTTTTTCAAGTTAAAGTGATGGGATCTGGAGGCTTGATAGTTGACAGTGACTGCTTCTAAAAAGACTAACCAAGCCCTTTAGAGTCAAATTTATAGGAAGGTTGAATAGACTCAGTAATACCTTAACCAATTTTCCCAGACCAGTGCCTTGAACAAATCCCATTTTTGTCATAATGTTTTTACTTTGCTCACTGTAAGTAGCATGCAGGAAGGAAATTTGTGCACCCCATTGTTGTAAAAGATCTCTTCCCCAGAGATTAACTGGAATGGGCGTAATTAGAGGGAGAATAGTACCAGTCTGTCGCTCTGGGCCAGTACAATGTAAAATAGTGAAACTTTCGTAAACCTAGGAGGCCTGACCAACTCCCACCAACCCGGTGGATGCACTTTCTTTGGGCCATTGCTGAGGACATTGATGTAAAGCAATAATGGAGACATCAGCACCCATGTCAATAATGCCCACGAATTTCTTTCCCTGTATATGCACAGGACAAAGAGGTCAGGTGTCAGAAATTTTCTTAGCCCAGTAAGATGCTTTACCCTGATTATCTGTACTTCCAAAACCTCCAGTTCTTTTATGAGAACTAGATCCGAGTGAAATGTATGGCAAAAGAAGAAGTTGAGCAATTCTATCTCTTGCCGAAGCTTGCCAAGGAACTGCAGAACTAACAATACTGTGTATTTCCCCAGAGTAATCAGAATCAATCACACCAGTATGTACCTGAGCACCTTTTAAATTTAAGCTTGAGCGATCAAGCAATAAACCAACAGAACCAGGTGGCAAGGGCCCAAAGACACTTATGGGAACAGTGATTGGTGGCTCTCTGGGCAAAAGGGGAATGTCCCTAATACAGCAGAGATCTACTGCTGCAGATCCTGTGGTGGCGGGGAACAAACATTGAAGTGAGATCCTTGCTGAGGCTGTGACATCTGTGCTTGTGGCAAGAATGGCTGAAGTGGAAACTGGATGATTGGTCAATTGGTTGGGCCAGAAATGCACCCATCTGGCTGGAAGGCCAAGGCTGGGAGTTGGGGAATGCCCCATTGTTTGAAGGGGCCTGGTGCTGGCTCCTCTTCCGGTTTCCCTGGTTTTGAAGTGGTGGTAAAGGATTGCTGTCAATGTCGAATTTCGAATGGCAGTGAGCTGCCCAGTGATTGCACTTACGGCATCTTGGGCATGGTATGGAAGGTGGGGCTTACTGTTTTATGGCCTTTTAGGTTTGGTGTTGTACAGGGCAGTGGTCTGAACACCGAGGACATTTTTTCCTGGTAAGTCCAGATTGGCTGCAGTGAAAACTATTACCAGGAAATTGTCCAGGCATTCTAAAACTAGCCATAGCCTGAGCCATGACCATAGCAATATGTAAAGTTCCACCAACACCCTCACATGCCTTAATATAGGATGTGACTAAATCACCTCCTGGTGGGATTTAACGTTTTACAGGGTGAATAGCAGCCTGACAGTCTGGGTTTACTTGTTCATAAGCCATAAGTTCCACAACCAAATGCTGGCCATTT